AAAAAAAAAAACATAGTATAAAAGAACTGCAGATATAAGATGCCACAAGGAATTCTGCACCTGGGAAAAATTGCTTAAGTGGAGCATGTGAATACCAAAAAGGTATCTAAAAGGCTCCAGATTGGTAAAAGTAAATCCCATTAGATTAACTACTTTGACATTCACGTACATCATACACACACCATGCTTTCACTTCAGCTCTTCAATAAAGCATTTTAAAAACTGCTCAAAAAACCGAGCAGAGAAGAATCCTCAGTTTAAGCTCGCACATATGAGAAATATGATCCTCCTTATGGAGGGAACTTTGCTTTGCTTTATGCGTCTTGTAGGAAAGCATACAGTAGTGGAAACTTTACAATGAATGCATTTTAAGTTTCCATGGGTAAAGGAGCAAAAAAATATGAGAAAAAAAAAAAAAAAAAGGAGCAGATGCTCAAAAGACATGCCAACAATCACACTCATTCACCCAGGCAAAACTACTGGACAGATTACAGGTGCAGAATTCCAGACAAAGCAGATTCAAAAGATAAGGACATAGACAGCCACACAGTCATCACTCTGATTTAGAGGTACAAGACCCTCAGAAACAAATATCTCAGTTACACACACTATGATGACTCCTAGGATACATCACACACGCACACACACGCACTCAGATCCCACGTACACCGCTGTGTGGAACTCTTTATCAAGTACATCATACATGGGAGGCAGGGAACTGTGGAATGAAAAAAGTTCCCACGCAGGTATCAATGGGACAAAGATTACACATGCCGATTACTGTATGTGTGCGTATGTTCTGTGTATGAGTTTGTGTACAAGCATGTGTTAAATTTAATTCCCTTATCCCCTGCTGTTGCCCTTTGGGACAGCATCCCACCAACACCAAACAGGGCGGGCTCTGTATTGCTCAGTCAATGACACCTGGCTGGCGGGTCTTGCGCTCAACATTGAAGCCCTGTACAGGAGGGGACAGAAACATTAGTGTATTAGTATTCCAATGGCAATTAGAAGTTGCAGGGAGGAAGATCTAAAACCCATTTACTCTAAATACTTAACATTAAAACAATAAAAACCCTAAAAGCCAGCCATATATACACACACATCTCGTCAGCTGAAGTGCAGTTACTGTTAACTGCATATGGCAGTACAATTTTTGCATTAATGCAACACCTATCTACATTGATTTTTCCAGGTACTTCATTCTAATCTAATCCAGCTGATTCAGTATATAGCCTTGTTTTCCACTATATGTACTGGTATAAATTCTCATTAAAAACACTTATTTTACACAAATATTTACAATATTTAATAATAATAAAAAAAGGTATTTAAAAGCTATGATTAACACATCAGGCCAAAGAACATACATAGTACAGATAATAATAAGGCAATAGCACAGGCATGGTTGTACCTTTGAATTGTCAGGACCACGGGGCTGTCTTACAATGACCAGGCGAGGAGCACTGGCGTCATCAAGAGTGATGCTCTTCAATCGGTTCACCAGACGATCAGGACGCGGAGTCACCACCGGTTTAGGCCCCTCACTGTAACGTTAGGCACATGAAGATAATCGGTCTGAGGGCTATGTTACTTAAAAAGGTTTAACATACAGTGTACTGCTAACAAGTTAAGGCCGAATTCTATCCAGAAAACTGTAAACCAGGTTCTACATCATTAATTGTGTGCTGGAGTCCTTACCTGACCCTGCGTACATTACAGGCACTACATTTTCCTGTGCGTTGATTGAGGACAACAGAGAACTCCACCTCATCCCCGGTCTGGAGCTCCAGGCCATCTTGCACTTCTTTTACATGGAAGAACAGCTTCTTGCTCTCACCAACTTCATATGTGATGAAGCCAAACTGGGGGCAACAAAATGACAACCTCAGGATTCAAAATTGGCATTCAACATACTCCAGCTGTAATACTGTAGTAATGGTAAGTTCAACACAGATTCCTGATACGTGAGATGCAATGAGTGCTAATGAAACAAATAACGGATCACTACCTGGTCTTTGACACACTCCACCATGGCTCTGCGTTGAGGGACCACATTACAGGCCATCTTCTGTCCAGTTTGAGCAACTGTGCAAACCTGGAACTTCACAAGTTCTCCTTTCTGCAGACAATCTGCCTTGTTTGCCATACCCATGATTCCAAAGGGATAGTTCTGGCCTTTAGTTCCACCTGAACAACCAAAAAGGAGGATCAATATCATCTTAAGTTTTAACAGTGCTTTAAATGTTGGTCTACAAGTCTCATAACAATATACCAACCTTCCTCTGTGACTTCAATAAGCCCTTGGTATTCCGTTTGGGAGGGATCCACACTGCGTAAGGGACGGATGACTTTCCCCATCATCAATGTCGCACCAACATCCTCAACAAAGCCATTCACTGAATGCGACAAACACACTATTTGTAGGCCACCAAAAATTTCCAAATATGATTATAATAAGTGATATAGCTGGAATTAAACCCGTCATACCTGCAGCCACTTTAGTAACCTTTTCAGCACTAACTTTGTTTCCTTTTCCCTTAGAGAGAGTGTACTCCACAGTGTCGCCCAGCTCCAAGTTCTCCAAGTCTCCACACATTTCACTGAGGAGAAATCCAATATAAGAAGCCATTAATCGGTAAATGAGCAAATAAGTCCCTCAAAAAAACGCATCTTAGAACTTGAACCTCTACTACCTGTAGTGGAAGAAAATCTCCTGGTCATGATTTGCTGTCTCAATGAAGCCAAAGTTGTCCTTCAGTGTGGCAACAAATCCATGCAGTCTCTTGGCATTGGAGGCGTTACGGTTGAGGACCCTGATGGAGACTGCGCTCTGCTGGCCAGTTCGCTTCACTTCGTTGATAGAGAACTCCACCTGAAGTAAGAACATGAATACGTCACACACACACACAC